TAATTTGGTGACTGTCTAATGAAAAGCTGACACAAATTCATAAAAGATGGGATATTTAATACTTTTGCCTTTTAGTAGTAATTAATTATATCCCAATGAGCTCTTGATTTTTGTTCTGGAAAACGGCGTTTCATTTCATGTTCCATTATTCCTCATCAACTAGCTTATAGAAAGAGGAAATGAAAACTATACCGAGCTGAATATTAATTTTTTAAGTAATAACTTTGAAGGAGTAATTAAGAAATTGAGGAATTTGAAGATAACAATTAACAACACTATTTAATTTCGATCTAATTAGTCAATCTTTAAACCTTATACTACTTTAAATTAAGTTGAGTTTACTCTAATATATTAGAGTACTATATAAGCTAAAAATCAAATTTTCTTTCAGCTTGTATATTACACTAGTACGAATCTCGTGCGATGCACTTGTAAGAGATATTCATTGATATTTATAAATTAAAAATGCTAATTAAATAATATTAATAAATTAAAAATATAAAATCAATATGTAATACGTCCCCCTCCCTATATTAATTTATTTCAAATGTTATATTAAATATAATTTTTACAAAATTACATACGACATGTCTATTGAAATTAGTACACAGTTCGTACGGTGCACATAACTGGTAATAAATTACATTATATTCATTTCAAATTAAGTGTCAATTTAAATTTTTTTGCTTGGATACTAATAAGATGTCTGAATCTTGTTATTGAATGATTTGTGAAGCGAAACGTAATATTATTCAAAATTCATGTAAAACTAAGATAATATAAATAGTCATGTACAAATTCGATTACGAAAGAGACAAATAGAGAACATAAAATTGTATTTTATCTATCTTAATCATATAAATAGAAATAGAATTATAATTTATATTCACCATGAACTAAAATTTCACATTTTCATTATTTTAGAATAATTTTGTAGTTCACTTTAAAATTGCAATTATATTTGGATAGATTTTGTTAATAATATATAGCAATTAAGCAGGTTTAATTTCTGTTATGACTTATCCCTTGTATATTTAATTTCAAAACGTATTGAGAGTAAGTGGCAAGTTCGCATGATTCAGATGTTGACATGTCAAAATGGTGTGCTTCGTAATTTGGTTTGTATAAATACTATTGATTTGGAATTATGTTTGCTATTTGACATAAATATTACAATTTTGGTAATTATGCATTTATATTTGCACTTTTTCTCTTTTTCAAAATCAAATATTACCATAGGAAACTCATATTATTTATTCACACTAGTACAGAGCCCGTGCGATGCACGGGGTGCACAATTTTAAGGCTATTTATCCAGACTTATAATTATATACATGTATACAGAAAAATGTACGGGATATATATAGTACGTGACCCGTGCGAGGCACGTGATATATTTATTTGAGGAATACTATATTATAAGATGCAGTATTCAATAAAAGTTTAATAATACGCAGGAAAATTGTACAATAAGATAGTATTTGACAAACAAGCAATATATATTATTAAAGACCTCCTTGTACACAACATTATAAGTTTGATTTTCCATACAATAATAATACGATTTTTTGTAAAAAGATAAGAAGGAATTTTCAATCTACACAAACTTTAAACATTAGATGTATTTACGTAAATCAATGACTATATAGACAACTAAACCCTTCAATTTAGACTTGACATCTACTTTATTTATGGGTGATGTAAAATAAGGATTTAATTTTGACCGATTAAATCCTTATTCATAGGCTTGACATATAAAACTGATTTGATGGGATTTTCTTAACTAAACCGATGTTATGGGATAAAACAAATCTATACTTATCTTTGACTTTTCCAGCAAATGTAAAAAAATCGGTTCTGATTTTTATCCCATAACAAATCTTTAATGTCAAGCCTATAATGACCAAAACAAATATGTAATTAATATCATTCTATTTCCAGCAAGCATTAATTACCTTTGACTTTTCTACCTACTATTTATAATAAATAGGATGGCTTTTTATATAAGTATAGATTTTATATAATGCAAAGACTGAGATCATAAAAAAGAATCCTAAAAACTGAAACAATATATTTGCATAATTTAAAGCCATTAAGAAATCGATCTCTAAATCAGATTTGATTTTCATAATATGTTTTTTTTTTATTTCGAATTCTATACAAAATGGAATTCTTTCCAACCAATAGATGTCATAGCAAATATTAACTCTTAATTATTAGACTATTAGTAAATACCTAGCAAATTGTGTACTGATTTTAGAAAGTTAAAATGACTCATGTTAGGTAATTTACATTTTATGCATGTTGAACGGTGGGTTTTAAATATTGTTTCATAGAATGTAAAAGTGTATTATATTATTTTTATGAGATGTTGAATTTGAAAATTAATAGAATTCTTCTTCATACGAATTTTAAATGTAACAATATTCTTTGGTATACACTACTAATAAAATCTATATTTAAAGTTTATATTTTTTTTACTGGAAAAAATTCCTTAATTTAAGGAATCATATATTTTCAATCAGTCCACATCTATATACATTCTTCACAATTTTAAATCTTGAATTTGATGAGAATTCGTATCTATGAGTGCAAAATATGGTTTAACAAATTAATTTTTTATTATTAGTCCAGCCATACTTCTTTATACGATTTTTTGTGAAAATACAAAAGTAAATTCTTAATTTTAAATCAGCCGTACATTAAAGAGTACAAATTTTTTGAAATTACAAAAGTAGTTTTTTACTTTTAAACAGACGTAAATTTAAATCAATCATAAAAAAGTAATATTTATTTACCATTTAAATATTAAATCAGCCGTAATTAATGTTGTTTGTTTTAGTTTCCACGATTTTCTCCAAACTAAATTAACAACTGCCATGATTTAAGGGCAACATTTAATGCTAATCTATTTTTAGGAGACATTAAATGTATTTGGCGGAAAAAGCTTGCTAAAAGAGTTAAATGGTTAATCTTTTAATATAATGATAGATTTATTTTATTTATTAACCACCATAATTTATTTTTATCATATTTTTAAAGATAATAACTTTTTCATATGCAGTTTGTTTTTCAGATATGATTTATCAAATTAATTATTTTTTGTAGCTTTGACATCCATATCACATACAAAAATTTAAAATTAATTCAAACTATCTTTATAAATAAAAATTAAATTTATTTATCAATTCAAATTATTAAAAGACACATACAAATGGAACTACATATTATATTAATAAAAAAAATATTTATATAAATATACCCTAAAATACTCTTTTTATAGTCTTAAGAAAAAAAATATGCAAATGTTAAAGTATAACTATAGATGAAAAAAATTCTACAATTTAGAAAAAAGTCACTAAGGATAAATCACAGTCAAGTTATACTTAATAGTTATTTATGAACATTTGCCCATATAATTATACTGAAATATATGGAACAAATAATTCGCCCATATAATCGCCTAGTTATACTTAACAATTTATAACATTTGGCCATATAGTATTCACATTAGTTGCCTTTTTATTGTGAAGATATATTTTAAAAAAAAATTATAAGATATACTTAATTCATAATTGTTTTAACTAAAAATTACACAATATAGAATAATATACATAAGTTAAATGGCCTAAAATTTTATTTCTTATTAATTGTGAATATTTATTAGTATTCTTTAAATATATAATTATGAAAATCAAATAATGATACACTTTATTCTTAAAGTTAGTGTTTTAGGAAATGTGTATCTCAAGATATTAGAGACTGATATATGTGATTAGCGTTACCATAGTATATCAGCCGTAATTACCGAAATTGTACTTTTAAAACATACCATAAAATGTTTAAATAATTTTCAGATTTAATAACAATAATTTTTTGGGGAAAAACAGTTACTATTTAAAAAATAATCAAATCTTTATATATATATATATATTACTTTATATGGAATACCCTTTTTTTTATTCTTCTTATTTTAAACTGGTTCTTAATATCGAAATATAAATTAATTAGATTTATTATTAATACACATGATTATTTAAATTCTTATTTTCATTTTATCTTTTTTTTTTGTTCGTCGATTATTTTCATTTTATCATAATTTAATATTCATCTTTGTCGAATAAGATTTGTCTTCTAATCACCAAACACAATCCCTCTTTTTGCAACTTTATCAGAGTGTGATCACATCTTTTTTATGATAGGGAGAGCATATTTGAATTTTGTGATGGCCCAATTATAAGAATCGTGTTAAAAAATTAAATCCGTGATTATGCATATTTTTGTTCTTTGTCTCATGGGCTCTTAACTTTTTTTTTTTCCCCCTCAAAATTCTTTTCATATTCAAAACTTAAATTATCCAATTGAAGGCATTATGAACATGCACCATAACTTTTTCATCTTTGAAATGTCATTTTGGCAACCTTAATTTACTAGTTAAAAAATGCACAATTAGTCATTTTTTTTTCTTTTATTTATTTATTTATTTTTTAATTTATTGACATTTTAATAGAGAATAATTATTTTTTATATATCTGATGCAGGTGAGTTCAGCCCGACCGATAAATGTGATGCAATCATTAGATTATTCGTCATTAGACAGACACAAATTTAAGTGTATGTTGATCCAACGATGAAAAACTCGATAAATATATTGCAGTTACCAAGTTGAAATCCTATCACTAACATGTACCCTTTTAGTTCCTTTCCTAAAACTTAGTAATTATGTTCCCTTTGCTTTTCCTTGAAGAATATTATTCTTTTCATTCAAGATTTTCTTCCATGTTTTCTCCCAAGAACCCTTCACTTCAAAGTTTCCATAAAATTGTATAGTTACAAAATCACCACTAATATTCATCATAATTATTACAACAAAACCCAAAATACAATTGAAACTTACAAACAATACACCAACATTCATCTCTTTAATCTAATTTGATTGAACAATTTCACAACTAAGATACAAAAACCAACGGGATTAGTTTTCTTTTACCAATCATCCCAATTAAATAATCCAAAAGAAAATTAAAAACTATAAGTCTATAACAAAAGNACAACATTCTATCTAACATATCTTGCATTGCACTTCACATGATTTCCTTCACCTTCCTCTCCCTACCCATTAGAACACATGTCCGAAAGCTTCCTCCTACCCTCGACTATCTCGTCGAAGAAATCATCGAGCTGCCCGATTATCCCCTCCACCCCACACTGCAAAACCCCGAAACAATTTTTCAAGTTCTCAACTCTTTCGTCTATATCGATACCAATTTCGTTCTCATACCCGACATCCACACCCTCGATCGCCATTTTCAGCTCGTCCAACGCAAACTTTGCTGCCCGGAACTCGAAAAGAGCCACCCCCGCCTCCATCCCGAGGTAACCAACCGCGTCTGCCATTCTCCGTCGCAGATTCGCACTCGAGGCCACGAAACCCGAGCCATTGAACGAGCTCATCAAGATATCTTCGTGTTGCCCGTTTTCTAGGGCGAATAAGCTCGTCTCGGGCAAAAAGTAGACGAGCCCGCTTACCAATATCACGAGGAGCAATGTGTCAACGCTCATCATCGCGTGTAGTGCCCCTTGAAACCCGTTGTATCTATGGAGCTTCGTTTCTCGGTAGATTCCGAGCGTTAGGGACTCGACTTTTGTCTCGGCTATGCTCTTGTTCTCTTGTTGCAACGGGATCAACTCCCGTTGGCATCGGTTGATCGCACGAGTCACCTGACGAACAGAAACACATTTTGGAACAGACAATTACAAACTAGAAAACAGCTAGAATAATAACTGAATCAATTAAAATAAAGAGATTTCAACATGAATATAATTAATAAGACTAAGTACCTGTCGAAAAATCCGGGAGTTTAGGACACGGTGGTCGTCGAGAAAGGCGGCTAAGCCGGAGCCGGTCGAGTAGTAGCTCTCCATGTTCGAAACACCCGACTTGATGACGTGGCAAGCGTCCCAAAGGCGGGAGGTCTCGTCCATGTACTCGTCGAGCCATTTTTCTCCGACTCGTAGCTTTAGTTTTTTGACCAAGACGATGAGCTTGGAGTGGAAGGAGCGAAGGGTCGAGAGGGCGTGGGAAAGAAAATCGAGCGACATGAAGTTCTGAGAGAGAAAGAGACGGCCGAGATTGTCAAGCTCTCTGCCGAGGAAGTTAAGGAAGCCGGTGACTGAATTTGAGGATGAAGGTTGGCTCATTATTGTTGAAGATTTTTGAGGGGAAGAAAATGGTTTGTGAGAGAGTTGTTGTGGTATTGTAGATAGGTCCTTTCCTCTTATAGTGAAGTTTAAGATAGTCGTAACTAATAATAGTGGCAAAGCTTTTAGTTTTTGTTGTTGAAAATTTGACTAAAAAGGGTGTCCGACGTGGCATTTTTTTTGTTATTTAAATATTTAGGAAAAGTACGATAATGTCGTGTAGCGCCGGATTGTGCTGACGTGGAGACACGTGTGTCGGTGGCTGCGCTTCGGTGGGGGCCACCAGGATATCATATCATGAATGGGAGTATAGTTTTTCTTCCTTTCATTATTATTTGGTCTCTATTTTAATTAGAACTAGAACAACCGTGTATTACACGGTGCTTGTTAAAAATTATTCTTAAATTTTAAAATACACGGTGCTTGTTAAAAATTATTCTTAAATTTTAAAATTAATAAAAAAAATTATTTTAAATTTTATTTTTTTTACAAAATAATATATATTATTATATATTTTAAAATAATATTTGTTACTTGTGCGACTTACATGTGTTATATTATAGTAATTTTTATAACTTATATCATATAATTACTTAAAATATAAATATATTAATTGACAAATAATTTTATTTTTCTAATGAATATTAAAAATAATTTTATTAGTGTTATAAAGATAAATATAATTTTTTTTATACATACAATATGGATGTTAAATCGAAGCTCATCAAGAGATGATTAATTTGATATATTATATATATAAAACTAATAAAAAATACAAAAGTTATTAACTTATAAAATATATTTATAATTCAATGGTTATAATAAGAAATGATATTAAAATACAATTAATACATATAACATGACTATAAATAATCAACATATTTATGGATAATCGGGACCTAATTATTTTTGGTTTGTAAGTAAATTAAAATCTATCCAAGCCTAAGAACGAAGCATATAATTTTGCCACATAGGATCTCGAAGCATACGAGTCTGTCACTTAAGCTCAACACGTTCTAAATTAATATATAAGGGGGATTTCGAACAGAACTGCTACTCATAAATCAACAAAAGGTACAAATTTAAATGCTTATAGTATATAGACTATATTTATTTTCCTTAATTTAATATAAGCTTTGCTATTAAAAATGTAGTTGGTTTGAAAATAAAATCCAGTGTGCAAATCAACTCTTAATTTATGATTATTTCGTCTTCTTATTCTTCTACGTTTTTTTTTCCCGCTTTTGATTTGGTTGGCTATCATTTTATTTGACTTATATGAGTTTGTAATTGTACTTTGTTGCCTTTAGATAATCAATTGTATTATTCAATTACTGCTTAGGTCTCTTTATTCATGTGATGCTAGGATAAATTGTTTCTTGGTCTGTACATCGAAATTCAAAATTGGTTCCTTGTTCTTTTTGGGCATTTCACTGAACTTTATGAACTGCTTTAATGGGCTTCATACCAATTTGGGAGTTTTTGTTGCTTTGCTAGTTGTTCTCCATTTACTTTGTGCAATTGCCATGGGTAATCAAGGTGTTTGCCAGAGGTGCAGCCGATTCTGTT